CCACGACCAAGGCGGAAGCCATCCTGGCTTTCACTGATTCGGTTCTCACGATGACTTGGAGTCTGCCGTCAACATTGCGCCCATCAGTGACAGTTCATAAACCCGCCAAGCTGGACTGGATAAATTAGCTTTGGTTGTCAGCCGTTTTGGGCTGTGCTTTGCACTTTCGAAATGCAAATCCTCCCAAATTGGCGTGGACCTACTCCTGCGCTGGAGGTCGCCCAGGAGTATGGAGCTATATCATCGTCAGTGGGATTGATGATGTGGTCATGAACCGTTCAGCGGAAGCTCGGGATGCTTTTACCACCTTTGGCGCCGGTGTGACATCACTTCCGCTCTGAAGTACTGCGTTTGCAGCGCAGTCGTTCAACCCTGCTGTACGGTTGCGAACCCTGGCCCATTAGATCAGCCGACATAAAGAGTCTGGTTACGTTTGATCCTCGCTACCATGAAATCTTGGCTCATTTCTGGTGGGAACACCTCGGGAGCAATGAGCGTGTTCGGCGTCGCGAATTTGCTGCATGAAGAACGAGTGGATCGCTCAGCACCATTGTATCAAGCATCCGACTCCGATGGCTGGGCCGTGTTGCGCATACCAGCACACGGACTCCCGCATCGTGCGTTGTTTGCGGGCCCGGGGTCTGGATAGACGAGAAGGAGATGCTAAGCGATGAGTTGGTCTAGAGCAATGATATCCCTCACTTCGAACTTGGCATCGCTCGGTTCTTCCCGATTGTCGGGATGGGGACCGAAGGTCGTTGAACACGTTTGGTTGGATACACTAGCTGACATGGCTAAGAGCCGACCACAATGGCGTATGTGCTGGGATTCTCTTTGTCCCTCCCATTCCCTTTAGATTCCCTTCCGATAACGATCTCAATCTAGTGCATAATGTGCTTTTAGCATTGTTACTTCCTTAGCTTTTGTAGTTTGTTTTGCTTAATCTCTTATTTTTTCGTATTGCGGCACATTAACTGAGATGTTTTTCATCCTACTCTAACGTGTATTGATGATGGTGATGATGACTTCATGGGGTTTAGTAAGTCTTGGAAGAATGGTACCCATGAGAAGTTTTGAGGCAATGGAAATAAATCTGATGCCTCGGGGATTTTCGCAAAAAGCACACTGACCCCTCTTGAAGAGGAACCCAATATTTCAATTGCTCATTTGTTCGCCGAGGTGCGAAATTTGTTTGCAAACGTTTCACCGTCATGCCGGACTGAAGACACTTCTTCAGTATCCCAAATCGTGTTAGGATGACAACCAAGTCCACTCAGCATAAATCATCATGTTTCAGCAAAAATGTGGGAAGGTCGTCTGGTCCAGAAGCCTTGGTTCGTCTCAACACGGAATGCTCATGTCGAATCTTTTCCAAAGTAGAAGGTGTGACATCAAAATATCACATAGGTTTAGGCGATTCAGCAAGCGTCAATATTGCAGTAGGCCTGATGAATTGCTCTTCAAAATTTATTAGAATGAATCAAGGGAGGCAGAATCTGAGTAAAGAATTCTTTTCGGTAATTCTCATCAAACTCAAACATTACATGATGAGGAAAAAGTGCTGAATGTGCCGGATTGGGCTCTTCAAAATCTGCAGCCCAACAGGCTACTCGACAAATCTGAGAATGAATCAGCTGTCCATTTTCCCCAGCTGTTCTCTCGCTGACTAATGGTTTTCCCGAAATCATGTTCCGGATGAGCTGGAATACCACTCTTTTCTTTCCAATGGCACTGTCTTGATCCATCTCAAGGGCCTTTGCAATCCACCAATCTTCCCGGTTGATTCAAAGGCTCCCTGTCAGACTTCGTTTCAGAGAGTTACGGACGCACTAAAACTAAATGCCAATCGAACCCGTTTACGCGTTTCGATCAAACAGAGATCCACTCACAGTCACGATGTCGTTGCACAGCAAGCGTCGAAGGTACTCTTCATAGCACACTTGAGACGATCCCAGTCAGCGCTCGGTTCACCAACATCTATTCATCACTGAGAGTTGGTGTCCCATTCCTTGAAGATATTGTTAAACCGCAGACTGCGAGTTCAACTTACCGGCTAGAAGCTTACAAGATAGGCGCTTCTGAAGCGGGAAGTGTGACCACCAAGCGTGCGCGCACTAGAGCTTGGTTGACATCCAGGCATGTGCTCCAGCTTGATAGACAGTCTTGAAGTGATTTGCACTACCTGTAGCTAATGGCAATATGCTCGATTTGGATCCAGCTCATTGAGGAGTTCGGTGTGAGCCAGGTGACGCAATGTGAACGTTTGTGCTGGAAAGTAGTGCTGCTAATATAAACATTGTGGTCTGCACATGGTTGTAGAAATGAATCACCATTGTCTGTTCGGTGTGCATGGATCCCGAAGTGCCCTCCCAGATCTTGTTCATATTCTGAAAGACGTCCCACTTTGGCATTCAAGTCAATAACAACAATCACGATGTTAGTATTCATCGCCATGCGAAGAAGGGATGAGAGCTATCGATAGAAATAAGTAAGAGCATAAACGGAGGCGATGAAAAGGCACTTTGTCTTCATACCGTGTCTAATAATCCCAATAGAGGTTCGAAGTTAAATCGCATAAATGCGGCCGTTCACCGGTATCCAGTCGAGTAGATAACCTACTGCACACCTGTTGAGAGCGACACCAACGCCAGAATTACTTCGGTATAACCAGAGACACGAAGAGTGTAGTCATCATCGTCAGATTTAGAGCAAGGGAGTCGAGGATTCGTCACAACGCTGTTATCTTATATGCGTGTTTCGGAGACACGGCACTAATCAATACCAAGAGAGTGAAGAGTGAGTCTGTGCTGCCTGCTAGGTGATTGGACCTAGAGTGCGGGCGTCAAAAGAACCAATATGAAATGAGACTCGTGGTTTGATGGACGAGTTACGAGTGTTGATGTCAGCAGCGTCGAGGTCAGCGACGGAGTCTTGCCCAATAGACGGGGAAGAAGCGAGTAGAGAGAGAAGCAAAATAAGAAGAGGAAATATTGTCGACGTGGTCGAGAGAGGGATTTTGTTCGAGGTGCCCCATCTCTAGCTTTGACCCAACAGTCTGACCCACAACGCAGTGGGGGATTTGGAGGTTCATTTGCGGGACTCTGCCCGGAGCCTTTGGCTCAGTAGTCTGATGCACAGTGACAGAGGAGAGCAAGTCCAGCTCGGGAGTGTGATTTCAGAGACCCACTTGGATCCACTTTAGCCCTGTCACATAACGTTTGAAGATTTGGAACAATTCACTTCCCGCACTTGCGACCAGGGCCAGTCGCAGGTGAGAGTTGGTGACTTAGTAACAATTTGACCACGGGCTGCCTAGCTTGAGTCTGGCGGTAGTGAACCATTGAGCACCGGAAGGTGCCCTCCCACCGTCAAGGACAATGCATGGTGCTCGTGCTCTACGCCAATCGAGCTGTGAGTTTATAACCCGTAGACCTGTTGTTTCCCATGGCTAAGTTTTAAATGAAGAGGGCCGTCGACCTCTCCCTAACCTCCGTGGAGGATTGAATTGTGAGACTGTTAGTCTGACCTGTAACCATTGATCTGTATGGTATGAGTGTAACTCAATGGGTCACTGAGGTACGAAAACCCTCGCACCACGCTAAGATCCAGTCTCGTTTCGATTGTTTTGCATACTTTAGTACGGTCGTGCTACCTAGAACAGGTTGCGTAACTCGTCCGTGAAGGTGAACTAAAATCCAGCGACATTTTTCGTTCATTTTCGCTGGTCCGTTGCTCTTCTTAATCACTCGAACTTTCCTATATCCTGTCGCATTGATACGTTCACTTCGTTGATTATTGGAAACCCACTATACGCGTCCGTGACTCTTCACAATTTCCCTAATCTTCTCTCGACCGGATCATTAGTGCTTGAAGTGATTTTTCTGGATTACTCTTTGCATTACATGTGATTTACCAAAGTGTTTAGTAAGATCAAGCTCTCCCTAGTAAGTAAAGCTAAGTGTACTTAACTCTTCACTGTCAGTAGCATCCCTCATGACAAAACTCATGCACTTTATTTCTAAAATGTTGCTTTTTTATTCCAGGTAACTTTAGTCATATTTTACATATTGGTAAGATTGTCAGCTCTTTAAAAAAAGCCAACTTTGACCACCAGCCGTGGACAGTTTTGCTGCAGTACACGCGTATTTTAACAGAACCTGTTACGACTTGTTTTTATACATCCAGAATTTGTGTTCTATTTCACTGCGTTGTTAATGACCATTTTATTACTTCTAACCGTGCTATCAAGAACCGGATACTTTTCGTTTGTCGTTGTCTTTCACAGTTGCCAACGAATGAAAATCTACTCACGCAGTTTGTTTGCTTTTTTCCTCGATTTGGGATTTGTATTTTTTCGTTCAGCTCCATTGCACCATGCGTCCTCACAATCCATTAATAATGCTAATTTATTGTTGCCCCAATAGCGCTACTTTAGCTGTTAGGAACTATCTGCACTACCTTTTACCATGCCCGTTCGTTTAGTCTTCTGTGTTATTCTTATTTAGTGGCCTTGCAGGCTTCCCGCGACGTTAACCTTTGGACAATTTTTCCACTGTATTCTGCTTTCATATTTACTGCAGTTCTTTGTCGCACGCCTGCGCTACTTATTGTGATGATTTTTCTATTCCCAACTTGCGTCACTGGCATAACTCGTCTCCTCTACCGGTTGTACGCATTAGTTAAGATTAAACTGTTATTTAAAACCGCTTACTCACTCATCCCTTTGTGGTATCCTCAAATTTTGCCAGTGTATTAATCTTCACACGACTACGAGTAATAACTGCTCTCGCACACTGCTGGTTATCTTCAAACCAGCTTTTAATCGTCTGAATTTCTGTTGTATCTGTTAGATGCTTGCAGCTAACGATAAACCATCTCTGTACTATTCGATTAGCTCTCATATTGTCGCTGGCCAGTTTTTGCCTCCCCACATACGCTCTTGCCTTCTGTGTTTTCTTAGCTTTCAGCATCTGTCTAAGTGCGTGCACTCTTTTCTGCAGGATTTGGAACAAATCAAAAAAGGAATTTTTGGAAAAATTCAGATTCTGGACACCCAACAAGTTCGGCTTGTTGTCGGGGAGGCGACTTTCGACTTAATCAGTCCCCATCCAGCAACCGCTAGCTCCGTACGTCCGCGTTTCCTTTCTGCGTTCTTAGCAATCTTAGTTTTTAGCACTGAAACAATATTGTTGCTTCCATTTCATCTACTTATTGGCTCCAACCGTCCATAATTGACTCGTACACTACCGATATCAGGGAGTGAGAAACGCTCTTAGTCTAACAAACTCCCCAGACAAGTCATAACGCATTGCAACTTAGCCCTCTACGCTGTTTGTTCGAAAACTGCAGCGTTCATGGAAAATGTGCGCGCTACTGTCACCCTCTCTTAAGAATTGGTGGCAGACCCACTTGAGGTTCTTCAAACTTCTCTTCGTCTCCTTCATTATTTTCTACCGATCCAGGCGTGGTCGTTTACAGCTTGATAGTTCTCTCATCTACTACCTATAATCACGTATCCTTACAGCGAAATATTGGTCATGACTAACAGCTTTTCAGGATCCGACATTCGCTAACAATATGATAACCAGGAATCACTTCACTTCGGCGCCCACTGGACTGTTCTATCAATTGCTTTGTGATTAAGCGTTGTTTCACCACTTTGCAGTTGTTCGCACAACCCTGCGGTGCTTCACATTTTGATCGTCTAAGTTTGACTCACTTCGATCACTAACATAAGTGCTTTTGAACAACTCCTCGGCGTGTATGTTGCACAACCTTTGTTAAGAATGTCACTCTAACATAGTAAAAGCCTTCGGTGTGACTTATCTCTGCCGATTAGCCTTGGAAAAGAAATCGCTAAAAGGTAACCGGGTTGCTATCTCGATGGAGGATGAATTTGTCTTCATTCACTTGGGACCTGAACCACGGAGAGCTGGGGCTGGCTTCCGCTCTGATCGTCAAATGCTTGGAGCATAAACGCACTCACAGACCATTTACTAGGAGGCTTTTCCTTGGTAGCTTGTGGCATTGCCTATCCATGAAGGGCGTTCCCGGTAAACTCCCATTCTATAGTTGTTATGCCTCGAGTCCCGTCGCGGGGCATGGAATCTGCCTCCTCAGTTCCTCACGACAGCTGGCCTCCCTCTATCTTGTCCTATATCTCCTTTCCTCTTCCCTTTTGTGATCGAATTGGTCTTCTGCACGGTAGTAACATAAAAGTCATCGAATAGTGAGCGGCACCGTCTTACTTTTAATGATTGTCACAAAGATCGTTGCCGTCCTCTGTACATAAGTGGTCTCAACCACAGACAGGCAACAGTCGAACTAGGGGTTCGGGCCCCACAGGGGTAAGATGGAATGCGCACTGCTGCCGATTCACGAAAGGATGACACGGCCGCACAGTGTTTCTACGAGCATGTGGCAGCTGTCTGACTGATTCTAGTTCAGAAACGACTTTGTTCTTTCAGACACTTCCAAATTGCAGTTATACCAAGTGACCGACTGATAACCATTGAGTATGCAGACGACATAGATATCCTTGGGTCTAACGCAATGGCCATGGAACACTGCTGAGCTGACTGAGATTTCGCATTTCGATCGTCTCTTTCAGACTCATGTGGTCAATGGCCAGCGTAAATTCTTTTTTTTGCATTTGTTGGTAGACCAGATCTAAGTCAATGCGCAGTTTTCTTGAATTCTCCGTAGAGATCCATGCTTCGAGAAAGTCTCTCTTGCATGACCTGGCTTATCTACCGCCGGTTCTGGCTATTACCGAACAGCCACTGTAAGTGATGAACCGGTTCACTTGCCTTGGTACCTATGCCACCTCTGGTGATCACTTCACTGCGAAACTGCGAGGTGGCCAGTCGATGAGGTGGGATAGCTGGGTTCTTGAACAGGTTGATGAGTGTCGTCTTCAGTACGATCAACATCAGCGGTTGGAGAGTACATCTGACATGGCGCTATGTCGGAGTAAGTAGCGCTCCTACATACTGGTTCTTCCCTTCACCTGTTCATGCTCCATCCTGACCAGTTTTACGTCATTCTGTCCTGTTTCCGTTTTCTTCCTATCTTATTATCATACACTCGCAGTCTCTTTCCACTGCTGTTCTTGTGACCTAAATCTTGGCTATTGGAACCACCGCATTTCGGTGCCCGCATCTTAGTTGTTTGACTAAACTGAACAACACCTGGAAGTCTGTTCTCCCTTGAATCGGACTCTGTTAGTCTCCCCGTGCGTCAACCCTTCCGAAACCGAACTCCATATATCCGCCTTTTTTGCGTTAGGTTATTGATTCAAGTCTCTGGGTTGGATGTTGTCGAACCAATCGCCTCACGAACGGTACGGCTAGGCAGAATTATCGAGTCGCAAACCTTGCCACAAACCTCTATTCTTCCGTGTCCACTTCTTCGAAACCCTTCTATGACCCGTCATCGTGAGATTACTGGTGCGGGATTTCTTTCTTCAGTGGCTCTTTAAGCACTCGAACATTTTCCAATTGGTCACCGAAAGACACTCGTCCTGACTATTCATCCCCTCCGTGCAAGTCGCATTGGGTTTCCTATAGCGGTTAAAACTTACTCACACCGGTAGGCGTATCACTGAAGTCCTTCGTTTGCTGTTTGGCAATGATGCCCATCATCCTGTACCAGGTGGTTTGTTGAACTTGAACCATCGACGATGGCTACGTCTTCGCACTCCCATCGATGGCATAACAGAAGGATGGGAAGAAACTGATGGGTTGACTGAATTCTGCTGGTGCACCTCATCTTGAATAAGATCCTTGCGGTCCGCAACCTGATTACTTTGTAGTCCTACTTGATCTAGTATAGCCAAGTTATTGTTGGTAACTCTGGACTAAACCTTTTGTACCTGGCTATATTTGGCAGTCGTAGTGTTTTTATTGTTATATCTGCGCCTATTGACCTTTGTTTATGAAATTCTTGATGACTGGATGCTTCGCACTTTAGTTTCTAGCTCACTGGTGGACCGAATCAAATCTACCTTTTCAAAATTGTCGATTGTTACGCTACATGAATTTCATAACTATATTCTTTCCAGGATGTCGTGCTTTTGGATCAACGCAACGACGATTTCATTCGTCTCAATTGCATAGGACACCTAGACCACTTTATGGTCGCAGTCCCCAATCTAGAAGAGTTTGTCCGTATCGGTCAGTGAAAAAGCACCTTCATTTCTTTTTTCTACTTATGTATCTTTCCTTCTTTCATACAGAACTTATAATCTTTCCATGGTTTTACTGGTGTCTAGGCCAGTCTCCCTCTCCCATCTTGACTGTATTCCCATGCTAATTTGACTAGGTTGTGTTATACCAGTTTGAACGATTATGATTCTTTTACACTTTGGAACCACAAGTTGACTTTTCCTTCTGACTACGGATTACTCTTGGTTGCTGTGCACAAGTTAGATTTACATGTATTCAGTCATCTGCATTCAACCCTTGACTGTCTGTTCACTCCTTGATGTGGTAAGATTGTGTTTCGCTCACTCCTTGATTTCCCCTAGTCTCCTAAGCTTATTTATTCCATACGACCAACTGCCCTGCGCATCAGTCCACGTGAGATGTTATCGCGGTAGCTGTAGTTGTTTTTTCCTGTTCCTGCATTTTACACCTGTTAGCAAGCCGTTACTTGGCAGTTTTCCAATCGCTGTGCGACACCGAAGTCCTTCATTTGACGGCTGATAGCTTCTCACCCATGTGCCTTTTGTTTCAGCTGAATTTATCGCCATAAGGATTGCCGTATTGTACCTTCACTTACTATTAGCTGCTTCTGATTAGATCTCAGTGGTTTTGTGGTGATGTAACAGGCTGAGACTTTTGCAACAAATCGGGTTCATTGTTGCGGTGTTGGTCTGTTCTCCAAACTGTGTGATTTCGTCGCCAGTCGAGTTATCATCGTCAATTCTTTGTTGTGCAGCAGACATTCCCACCGAACTCACCCTCGGTACTTGCTCGACGAGCAGGTAACATTGTTCGCTGCTCAGTAAAGCACTAAAGATGTCTAACTGCGAGTCATTTTGAAGCAATCACTGCGAATGAATTGCGACACGCTGCCTCAGCTAGGACTGCGATTCACTCTGAAGTATACGTTGATCAGTTCGGTCGCTCGGATAGCATCTGAAGCACCTACCGATCACTTCAATTGGTTCTGAAATCTTTGTAATGAAAACATCTGAGTTAAGACCTATCTATGTCAATCATTATCCACCAGGAACGGAATTCTAAGTAACCGAACAAATCCACTGTTTTGGGTTGATCGATCGTAGGGCGACTTAATTCCACACCAGCACGTTACGGTCGGAGTATGTTACCTCTTAAGGCGACGCTTCTGATGCAACTTATTCAAAATATACATGTTTGGAGCTTGTTTGCTGAACACTTGCCAGTAAACGCACGGCAGGCGCAACTGTAAAAGCATTTTTACGCATGTTACACTGAAAACCTTTTCAGCAAAGCTTTTAACACTGACGGTCTTGAAGAATACTTAGCGACGTCTTGTCTACTACATCGAGCACGGTGGTTAGGGTTGAGGACATTACTGGTCAGGTCCTCCCATCTTCTTATCCACTCTCTGACACTTTTTTCATCTCCATCATTGCTACACTGTTGTGAAACTTCTCGTTTAGTTTTCGCGAACACTAACATCTATTACTAACTACATCTGCCACCAGGTTAAATTTAGCCCATCAGCTATGGACGCAGATCGATCACATCGAGATCATTTAGAATTGGAGGAGCTTCGTTCAACGCTCTCACATTGTTTGGTGCACGAGCGTATACTCCAACCATACATCTCTATGTGCTCATCTCCGGGTATGCTTCAGCTGACATCCGCTACGCTGTGAGAGTATAGACACTAGTCAGCTGGCGAAGCTAGGGGATCTGGGTGCGTATCAAACTACCTCGGTATCCGGATTAGGTTAGTGTCTACGGAACGCACTAGTAGGTCACTCGTTACATGCCTACGGGACGTTATAAGGGGCAAGTGTGTCTTCGTGCCTGTACCATAGATCGCTGTGTCATCTCCGAACTTTCCCGTTGTCATACATTCCGACTGGTAGCGAATACAGCAAGGCTCGCGAAGATCTCAGGATACAATTGGATGCTAGTCTGAGAAGGGCACTAGATTTGATGGGCTCGTCGTGAATCAGAGATGGAGGCGGTCGTCGATTTTGGTAAGTACTAGGGGAACGTGGTGTTGTCAAATCTGTCTCCGCCAAGGGTTAACTGTTGATAACTCCTCAAAACGTTTGGAGCATTTTACTGAACACTAAATCACAGTTTAATCGGCCACAATTACCAGCTTCCTTGAAAGTTGATGTTCGCCCTCACCTTAGACAGCACCTTTGAACCCACGCTTGTGCACAGAAGCCGAACGTGAGATCGAACTGCACAAATTGATTAAGTCCAGTCGACCAGATGGACCTTTTCTTGTTCTCTTCAAAGTACGGGTAATATTTCCTGTCGATGACTCCCATAATTTATTGCCGAAACTGGGTTTATGCGTTTTTTTTCCAAAAATCGACTGGAGCTGCTACCTTATTTTTGTTTCCAAAGTGGGCTCATATTCGGATTGCAGAACTCATAGGAGGATAGTCTGATCTCAATTGCCCCTAATTTACTTGTCTCTATCGTACTTCATTGACTGGTTGGTGCCGATAAATCCCACTTCGTGAGAGCAAGCTAGATTTCGTCGCAATTTGGGTTACATTGATCACATCTTCATCCTGGGTCAGCTGCAAAAGCACTATACTCGTGATCTTAAACATCAAAGCCTCCTTCGACTCGTGGCTAAATGCGCCTTGTAGGTTTGTCTGATTAAGCAAGTTGTCCCCGAAATCATACACTTATTATGAAAGCTCCTTGCGGCGCGCAGTTCGGACATAGTGAGGGCTCATAGTAAAATACCATAACCCTTCATATCTCGGGTGGTGGGAGACAGAGATGAATGCTGTCACCTTTAATCTTCAACTTCGTTCTTGATGAGGTTACATTGACCACGTTCGCCTAACTCGGCCTGCTTCCAGATAATCGACCTGGATTTCGCTGACTACACTTTCATAATCTTTGGCAGTAAGCTTTACATGTCAATCGTTTATAGTCGTGCTTTGCTTCAGCATTGCAGGACTCACCCTCTGTGCTAACTTGTTAGGAATCAGCGAGATTTCGCTCAGAAATGCAAGTACTTTAGGAATTATATCAGCTATTTGCTATGCTGAAGACTTATTATACGTAGTACCACTAAGCATGTAACGCACGCTTCCGAGACACGTAATTCCAGCTAGCAGAAGACTTCTTAACAGCAAGCGGTTGATCAATCAATTGAGGAAGATACAAGACTCACGGAACTCGCGTTGCGAGACCGGGTGTGTGTGTCTGATGATTGGCTGGCTAATGTGTGTGGTAACAAATCCACGCACGGCTATGTAAACGGATCGAAGTCATTCGCGTACGTGACATCCCCTCATCTCTTGAAAAGTTTATACTCCTGGCACGAACCGGTCAACGGGTTTATGCGTACGCTGCGATCTGCGAAGCATTGATGCATCTGCCTATTGTACAGAATCCTGGGGGTTTGCTTCCGTTTCCGGCTGAACGGATGCTGATTCACCCAGACGTTCATCTGTTGTTGTCCCAACAAAACGTGAGCGTATATGGTCTGAGTGTCGCCGTACTATTCGACCATTTGATTCAAGATCTGCTTGAGTACAGTCACCTTGAATTACAGTTGCAGGTTGCCAGCAGTGCTCATGGGGAAGTCTTGTGTATACGGAATCACCCGGCTGCCAGCTAGAGCCGTGTTTATTTTGCGATGCCGCAGCCTTGTCTCGTTTCTTCTCCATTTGTGCTCCATGATTTGGAAACAGAAGATCCAGTCTGGTACGGAGTGTTCTGCCAAACATCACCGCGGTTGATTTACCAGTGGCGTCCGAGGGCGTTATCCTGTAAGTAAACAGTAAACGATCTAACCTCGTCTGAACAGTTCCTGGTGCTTGTTTCGAAAGACCTCTTTTAATTGTCTGCACCGCCCTTTCCGCTAGCCCATTAGAAGCAGGGTGATATGAAGCTGTACGGACATGCTGGACACCATTGCTATTCATGAAGATTTCAAATTCATTGCTAGTGAAACATGGCCCATTGTCTGTGCAGAGTGTCTCCGGTATCCCAAATATTGCAAATGACGACCGCATTTTGGAAATAGTTGTCTCTGTAGTAGGGT